CTATCCCCCCCCCCCACACCATCCTCCTAACCCGCACCCCACCTTTCTCAAAGCGCGACCTAAACTCAAGCGGCACCCGCGCCAGCTGTCCCATCCTCTCAAAACGCCTTCAAAATCTTGAGTACTGCCGATTACACGTATTCGAACATATATACGAAAGTCATGCCTGAAATTGGAGGGTCTGATCTGAGAGGGCCTCGGTCAATGGGGCTATGGCGCATGGTGGGCAGCCTATTATCGTGGATATGAAGAATGGGTTCGGAGTTGAGGTTGTTGATGGGGCGTATGGTGACGTATAGGATGGTACTCTGCTCCTACGTACTCGTTCTGACCTCAAGTTATTCACACATGTACGTAGTTATAGCCCGTACCACTCAACGAAGCTGTCATACATCATCCCACATGCATATGATTCGTATACAAGACCAATTGTTCACTTTGTGCATCTCAAGCATACAAGACCTAATATACATGGTAGGTTCGAAGTCGCTGCTCCAACCCGCACACCCCGCACTACCGGTCATCACAAACTCCGTCACTACATCCCGAAGACGTCAAAGTCCTTGCCAACTATCTCCACCCCCTGGACCGTTCGCAGCTGCCGCACTGACTCGAGCACAAGCTCTCGTTCATAGTTCGGGCAACTCGTCTCCCCCATCCTCCCATCCTCCACAAGCGCTACCTCATCGGCTACATGCAGGTAGATCGCCTCCAGAGGTTTGCCCGAGGCACGCCGCGCCTCCAGCACGTCTTCAAGCGCTGGAAAGCGCTTGGTTGCAAGTCCACGATGCGGTCCATCCAGAGCGAAGCAGGTGAAGATGGCGGACAGGGTATACTCCTGTGCGCCTAGATCCACGAACCGTAGCTTCGGGAAAACTGTGGCGTCCATCAGGTGCCCTAGGCCGTGAAGCGAGATCTCGCCGGGAGCTGACGTCCGCAAGCACAAGCGTTCCACATTCGGAAAGTGTGACAGATACGACAGTTCCTTGAATCTGCCAGCGCCACTCAGGGTCAGAGCCTTGACTGCGGTCGTGAATTGAGGCTGTTGTATGACAGAGGCCAATGTATCGTGGTCGGCCCATGATAGGGTGAGATCGTTCCCGCGAAGTGGCTCATGCGTGCTTCCGCCTTCTGGTATATCTTCTCTCTCGTTAATGGGGTATGCCGGCCGGTGGCCGCGATTCAGACTCAAGCTAGCGCATGTCTCCTGGAGGTACTGGCCCTTGAAAGATATATATGCCGATAGAAATGAAGGTATTTGAGAGGAGCACGGGCAAAATCCGAGTAATGCTTGGGCGAATGTATCACTGGTATCCTGCTCAGAAGATACCACTAATTTTGGGAGACACTCGAGCGCTACGCGAGCGTGTGGAGGTGCTTGGAAGTGGCGCAGTAGATGCGTGAGAAGTTCGACAGAGCCTCCCAAGCTGATGGAACGCGCTTGTTCCAGACGTATGACATCCTCGGATGTACCTGAGCAGCGATAGTTGCATGATAATGGTGTAATCGAAGGGCGAGAGGTGCTTGATTCGTCGAGCGATAATTGAGCGAGGGCATCCATCTGGCGCAGGGCATCCAGTATTTTGGGGGCGAACAACGCCTCGCTTGCGCCGTGTAAGTTGAGCGATACCAGTCGGGTGAAGCAGGGCGTTGTCCAATCAATCTCATCCAGAGATGGAGCCAGGAAAGACAAGGATAAACGAAGGAGACGAGGTATATTTTCCAGTAATGCATTGCAACGATTGACGACGGCGGAGGTGTGGAAGGTGTATGATATAGAGAGGTTGAGCTCCTCGACATTCTCATACTCGCATGAGACAAGCTCATCGAGATCAATGAATGATGAATGATGATTGAGCGTCGAGCTTAAACACATAGATATGATCCGGGCGCGCTGTGTATTCATTAGATGGTAAAAATGCGCAGAGGTCGATTCATCTAGGTCGTGTGAAAGGCGATCGTCGATGGCAAGCGGTGCATTTTTACTCCGGCATATGAACTCGTCAAGCCAGGCAGAGCCAAGCGAACCGTCCAATTGCGTCCAGAAATTGGCGTTATCGATCGCCACTCGTCGCCAGCGACTGTTGACGAAGGTAATCCTGATCCATCCCAGATTGGCCTTCGCCGGGCGCAGCCGGTAACGGTGATGACGAGTAGAGCGTAGTTCATCAAGACGGACATATGAGAAGATATGCGAGAGCATCTCATCGGGGATCGTGGCTGTGAAGTCCATGGTTGCAGGATGCCGCGCGGGATGATGGCGGTCAAAAAGCAAGGTGCGCAAGGCTGTGGCGCGTCTTCAGGTGCTCGTTCTTGCCACTTCCCACCACCACCCCGCCCAGGTTTTCCTTACAAGTTCAGACTGTGCTGTTCCGCTCCATCCCGCTAGATCTTGTCTCTGTGATAATGCAATTCTGATCTCGACACTCTCTACATAATAAGTTTATCATGAAACGACCCGACTATCCCTTCGCCCCTTCCACCTCCCACCCCTCCTCGAACGCCAAAGTCTACGACTCGTACGACGCCAGCTCACCACCACCTCACCCAGGTCCCCGCTGGACCCGCTTTGTCTGCATATCCGACACGCACTCGCGTACGAGCTACCCGCTTCCCCCTGGCGATGTACTACTCCATGCTGGAGACCTGAGCAGCCACGGGCGGCCCTCGCATCTGACGAAGACGCTTGAGTGGCTGTTGGAGCAGCCGCACGCAGAGAAGGTGTGAGTCCATGGTCAAGGAGTACTGGGACCGTTGTGCTAATGCTGCGTCGCAGGATCATCGCAGGCAACCATGACGTACGTCCACCTTCCCTATATCCGTTCATCACGCTAACAGCACTGTACAGCACAGTCTCGACCAAACCAACATGCCGCGCCACGGCAAACACAAACAGAAGAACCGGATCTTCCTAGACGTAACCGACGCGCAACTCGACGACCTCTACGACATGGTCAAGGGCGAGCGCGCGCGGGAAGCACATATCCATTATCTCGAGCACGAGAGTCTCGAGTTGAAGCTTGATAATGGGAAGACGTGGAAGTTATATGGGTCACCGGTACGTCTGGGCGCTCTATCCCGGTGGTGGCTGTGGGCTGAAGTTCTGGATGCAGGCTGCACCGATGTACGCATGGGGTTCATTTCAGTACGTGGACGACGAAGAAGCGCGCGGTACGTCCTACCCCCAATCGCCTACTCGTACAACTCACTCACGTTCCTCCCGTGCACAGCCATATACAACCCCATACCCCCCGACACCTCCATCCTCCTAACCCACACCCCGCCCCAATCGATCCGCGACCTCAGCTCAAGCGGCGCCCGCGCCGGCTGCCCCATCCTCTCCAAACGCCTGAAAGACCTCAAACAGTGCCGACTACACGTGTTCGGACACATACACGAGAGCCATGGGTACGAGATGCATGGAGTCGGAGAGTATGAGAGGGTCTCGGTTAATGGGGCTATGGCGTATGGTGGACAGGCCATTATTGTTGATTTGAAGAATGAGATTGGGGATGAGGTTGCTGATGAGGATAAGAGTGGCGTAGAGGGTGCTATACTCGGTATCACGGGTATGACTCTCAAGTAGTATGCGCACGTACATATATTCGTACTCCACGATGCAATGCACGGCAGCTGCTGCCGTACGTCGACGAATCCGCAGGTCAGACAGCGAAGAGTAGAGATCTCTCGATGTCTATGTAGCGTCCGTATGGCGCCCAGTCGCACAGACCGTTGATGGTCCAGACCCGAAGCATACGGTGACCTTGAGGACTGGTGCCGGTGTTTGACGCGAAGCGAAGCTGGTGAGGGTTTCACGCTGAAACGCCCGCGAGCGAGCGATCCGCGCCGTCTCGGGCAAGCCTCGGGGATCTTCCCCATACACCACTTGTCTGTATTGAGCTTCTTCGCCTCGAATAGAGTGCAATGCCGAGAGTGCAACGTGTGACATTCTTCGCATTGTGTATCGATTCCAATATCCCGCGGCGCATCAAGCGCAACAAGCTCAAGCCAAAGCGGCGTAACAGGTATGTACAGGCGTAGGCGCCATCACGCTCACATCCGTCGTGCGACGTAAGATCAGTTACCCACAGCGACTTGACGGGCTGAGTCAATGAAGGCAGTAGCTTTGCATAAATAGCCTTCGTAGACTTGACGCAGTGCAAGTCAACGTGGCAAGGTTGTGGCAAGGAGCAGGAAACTCGCAGCACGCTGGTTGACGCGCACCGGCAACAGCCGCGCGACGCGCCGCGCGTGCTGCGTCCGCGCTCAAGCTCATTCAGCCACCACCACGGCATACTTCGATCTCCCGTTATTTTGTTGCATACCTTCGCCGTAAGGCGCGCGCAAAACAATCTACCGTCTACTCGGCGCATGGCGCGTGACCTCTGCCTGGTATAAGCATAATTTCGCGATATAATACGAGTGGTGGCGTAAGCTCGTTGCCGTTCTCATGCCGGGATTCGGAAGTGGCGCGGACGCTATCCTCCACCGCACCTTGCGGCTTGCAGATAGCGATCATTGACGACATGTCTATCGTCGCATCTGCCCATGCGGCACTATGTCCGTCAACGCCACGAGCATGCCGAAGGAGCGTACCGGTCCGGCGTTCTCCTGCTTCTCCCGTGGTCTAGATGAGATCCAGCGTCTCATGCTCTCAAGAACGGTTGGCAAACGTGGAGGAGAGCCGTGGAGCTCATTCTTGACATGGCATTCACGACTGTTTCCTATCATGAATGTTGCCTCGACACCTCGGGTTTTCGTGGCGATATCATCAGGATGACTTGATCCAATAGATCAATCTCCTTAGCCGCTGTGCGTTTCACGCCGGTAGTGCCATCTGATGCTGCCTTGACACGCATTCGTAACGAATGGCTGCGACATTTAGGATCGTAATATATCCTCAACTATACTCATTACGCCACAGTTCGGCGCTCTTGGCGCATGGTCTGTAGGCGCGCTTCTCTGATGCTTCTCGCCTCCCGAATTCCGAGGCCCGCTTTCCTATCTCTGCCACTAGTTCGTGCTGAGGTTGCGCTCAGTCGTTTGAGGGTATGCTGCTATATCCGTCAAGGCTGACATGCGGTAGACCTGAATTGAGCCTGATATCAACGAGTGCGCTAAAGCAGCTTTACACGGTCATCTATCGATGGCATGCCAGATTCCATGCCGTTTCATCTTGCGTTGTCTCTATTGGCAGCTTCAAGCTTGAATGGAAGCGGTCATGATGCTCAGGGGTATCAGGGCCTGAACTCCCGACAAAACGAGAGCTTGTAGTTAGCCTGACACAGAAGCCAGAAAGGACAGAGTGCCCACACGGCGCCACGGCTTCCGTGGTGGAAGCGTGATCAGCTCATACATAAGTGCCCATCCATGACCTGCGCTCTCTCACCTCTCGTCTTCTCCATCACTGAATACTCTATCAGCTTTGATTCCCCGAGTCACGCTTGCACTTGCAACACTATCGCGCAAATGTCGACCGACAAGGATCCCGACACTGACAAGGTCGCAGAGAAGATCGCATCCAGGATTGCAGATGCACTCGCGGATAAGGTTGCGGATAAGTTGCTTGAAAGGCTGGCCAAGACGCGTCGAAAACCCTTCGCAGATTTCGCGGACTCTCAACCAGAAGACAAGAACGGCGATGGCCTTTGGGCTGCCTATCTTGAAGACGCTCTGGAAGAGGATGCGACCGACAGCGAGCGCTGGATTGGATTCACTACCGGAATGTTCGCTTTTGTGCGTGATCTTTCTGCCATCTCCCCCAGAATGATTGCTCATACTCAGTCGCATAGACGGGCCTCTTTGCCGCAACTGTTGCGGCCTTCGTGGTCGAAAGTTATCGCCTGCTCCGTCCCGATACAAACGTGCAAACCGTAGCACTTCTATCGCAGCTCGTTTCCGCGTCGAACATCTCCCCCGTCGTTCCCATCCCGGATCTCTCCGAGGAAGTGTTCCCGGTACCGTTGCGCACAGCCATCGTTGTCAACTCCCTGTGGTTCCTTGCGCTGGTGATCTCGCTCGTGTGCGCACTCTTGACGGCTCTCATACAAGAATGGGGCAGCGATTACCTGCATGATATCCGCAAACCCTCTCGCGAGATGACTATTAGAGACTACGCATCTTATCACATTCATGTGCGCATGGGCATCGAGCGCTTTGGCATGGACAACCTGATGTCGTTCATCATCACCTTGATGCACGCGGCCGTGGCCCTCTTTCTTATTGGACTGGCCATGTTTCTCTACCCCATCAACCATGTGCCAAGCTTCGTCGTCGAAGCCGCCGGCTTTGCCACAGCAGCGCTCTACGTGTCATTCAGTATCGTGCCACTCTTCGACAATAGCATTCCTTCGCGCACGCCATTGACGCATCTACTCATTGCCCTTGAATGGTCCATTTCGTTCGTGCTTCTTCCCGCCTTGACGCTTGCCCTGCTCCCGCTTCTGAGTCTCGTTGATGACAACCATATGTCGTGGTGGTCGTATGACGGCGTGTCGTTCATCGGCACCATGTTGCAATTGCTGTTACGCGAGCTTCTCCCCGTGCAGCGATACAATGTCAACGGGTCCCTCGAGTTGGCCAGGATGGCCGACCGTTCGACGCCGATGAAGGCTCGCCATTTGATCTTCATGTGGCAGCATAGCAGAGGCTATATGCTCGTCGACCATCACAGCTCTATTCTTCTGGACTACCTTCCACGCCAGCTGCTTGTCGGCAATGGCGCGAAGACGTATAGTCGCTTCTTCACATTCCTGGGGCACAATCCGCAGGTCATGGAGCGTATCCGGCACATCATGTCCTCGGTTACGACGACTGAGGCAGGTATCGGGGTACTGCAGCTGCTACATTTGTTCATCCCAACAGAGCTCCGCGCTTCCCGTGCTCTGAGCCCCGAATGGGTCGCACTGCGGCGGTCTGGGCTCCCTGCCGAGTTTCCTGACATCGTCAAGAATCTGAACGAGTTGAACAAGTCAGCCTTGGCTGTTGGAGATGTGACGCTTTTCGTCGAACTCACCAGGTTCCGCGGATCATTGGCGGAGATAGTGACCAGACCCGTCGCTGGAACAGCGCTCCCGCTCGTGAATGACTTTACTATGAAGCCCTTGCAAGTCATGCTAGAGCAGCTGCACAGCGTTGAGGGCTTCCGCTTGCTCCCACTTTATAGCCCCGAAACTAGTTCTCCGAACGTCACTCCCGCTTATGCGACCACATCGTGTCAGAACATCGTGACCTTGCTGGCAATCTTGATCGCTGTGCAATCTGGTGAAGCTGAATTGCAGACTCAATCGCGGAACAGCGAAGCAGGCGCCGATCACCAGTCCTCAACGTCAACCTTATCGATGTCGATCGGAAGCAACGGATTGCTGCCGAAGTCGTACTTCGATGACCTTCAGAAGGTGAAGAAGAGCATGTCTGACTGGCTGTGGAGGGATTGGTACCCCAAGACCACTCCTTCAGGTCCGAAGCCGCGGGCGTCCGATATATTCTCGTTCCTGGTGGACTATGCATTGATAAACGAACGGATCATTCACGAGAAATACGAGTTCACCGCTGTGCAGGACGAGTCTGACGAGCCCATGGTCACCAAGGAGATCATCGCGGACATACTCACTCATCTCGTGAAGCTCATCGACGCCGACAAGCTGCACGACATGGACGCCCGAGAGCGTGGGCGGCAGCAGTTGCGAGACGAATTCGGGCTTAGGATTGGGGAGATCGAGTACCTGACCCTGGAGCAGGTGGCGCAAAAGGGTATAGTTTTGAAGGAGAATTATGAAGAACAGGAGAGGCGGAGGATAGCAAGGAGGAAAATGCTGTTGAAGGCTATGCATGAGCAGATACAGGATTTAACGTCGCAGATGAGGGCAGGTTCGACTGAAGGTGACAAAGTGCACAATAATGTCCTGGGCGCCAAGGAGGAGCCATCAAGCAGCACCAGTCCCTCGACGCAGCGTGCAGATGAGGGTGGCTCAGGATCAAGTAACCCGGAGGACAAAAGGAAGGGAGTTGAAGTACCTGAGAAGACTGAGGATCAGGTGCGTACACACAGAGCGAGCTACTAGTGCGACGGATGCTTACTAGTGAGCCGCCGTGATATAGCATGCGCCGAAGGATTCTTGAGAGTACGTGGGGTGACAATACAAGTACGCGGATCAATGTGAGGATAGCGACGAGTCGTATGACGTGCCGTGACTGTGAGGTACTTGTCAATACCCGCTCGTATATAAAGTTCGCGGGAACAATATATGGCATGCAATTGACGTCAGTGAGTCTAAAAGCATGGCGAGTAGTGTTAGCGTTCCGACGCATTCACAGACGTGCTCGTGGTGCCCAAGCGGCGCGACCTGAGCCAAGCCTTCAGGTATATTGATGACGAGCACCGTCGACAGTCATGCGTTCCCGGAGTCTGTTAAATGGACTCAACGGCAGTCAAAACACACAGCAAGCTTCCTGAGGATCAAGAACACGTAGTTCGGATTGAGGAAGATGTACAGGATCACTGAGTGAATTCAGCCTGGCGAAATCCGCGAGTTTCTCTTAGCAGGAGATGAATATTGTGGTGTATATGACCCTCGTACCCAAGGACACTTGCATGAGCATGTCATTGGAGGTAGGGGTAAACGGGGACATGAATGACTGGGACGCAGGATGATGGTAGTCGAAAGTCAAGTCGCGCGTGGGGAGGCGTGAGGTGATTGCGAGCTATAGATCACTTCGTAGCCTCTCGCTCAGCTTCACGTCTTACCACCACGATGACTTCAATAGATGGCGCCGGACACCTCCTGTCCCTCAAAGTGATGCGCGTATCGGTACGGTCCTACCCATCCAACATATCTAATCTCCACTAAAGAAGGCAATAAAGTAGCGACCTGCGCTCGCGACGGCCTGGGAGCCCTTCTACTCCTCCTCGCCCTCCTTCTCCTCCCACTCCACCGCCTCCGTCCTCTCCCTCCAAGGCAAAACACCCTTACCAGGCCATCCAAAAACCCTACGCGACCTAACAAACGCATCCGAGCTCCTCACGCTCCCCGCCGCGTTCGGCGCCATCCAGCTCGGCGAGACCTTCTCCGGCGCTTTGGCGGTGAACAACGAGACCGCGAGCGCCGTGGACGGCGTGTTACTGAGGGTGGAGATGCAGACGGCGAACAATAAAGTCGTGTTGGCGGAGATTGGCGGGAAGAGCGAGGTGTTGAGCGCCGGGGATACGCTGGAGACTGTTGTGCAGCATGAGATCAAGGAGCTGGGGCAGCATGTGCTGGCGTGTACTGTTACGTATAAGCTGCCGCCCGGGTCGAGGGTGCCGGCGAGTGGCGAGGGGGGCGATCCGAGTGTGCAGTCGTTTAGGAAGTTCTACAAGTTCGCCGTACGTTTTAATCCCATTCACTATCTTCTTGATACTGAATACTAACGATGTGTAGGTAACGAACCCGCTGTCGGTCAAGACGAAGGTCCACGTCCCGCGCGCCCCCTCCGCCACCCTCTCCCGCGCACAGCGCGACAAAGTGTTCCTGGAGATCCACATCCAAAACACGACGCCCGAGCCCATGTCCTTCGAGCGCATCCTCCTCGACCCCGCCCCCGGCTGGTCCCTCGACTCCTCCCCCTCCTCCTCCTTCGCCCCCACCCAAGACAAGCTCTTCTCCGGCGCCAACGCGCTGATGCAGCCGCAGGACGCGCGGCAGTACGTCTATGTCCTCAGTCCGCTCGAGGAGAGCACGTTCTTCGTGCCGCCCGAGCCCGGCGCTGTTATCCAGCTCGGCAGGCTGGATATCTCGTGGAGGTCGGCGTTTGGCGAGCCGGGGCGGTTGCTGACTTCCGTTCGTCTCTTCCACCCTCAACGCCTTCACTTACGCTGACGCGCGAACGCAGATGCTCTCGCGGCGTATACCCCTCATATCGCCCACCCCACCCGCACCCGCACCCCAACCGCACGCACCAACCGCCTCCCGCCCCCAACCCGGCTCCGCCCTCCCCCTGCACCTCCAACGCTCAGCATCCATCGCATCCGCGCCACCCGCCCGACCCGGAAGCCCCGGCCCGTCCATCCCGGTCCCATATACACCTGCATCGCCGCGCTCGCGCACGATGTCGATATCGCCCCGGCCTGGCACGCCCGGGACGGCGTCGAGTACGACTGCTGTGAGTGTGGGTGGGCCTACGCCGGTTCCTGTTGCGCCGGTCGAGCCGCTTGAGCTCGAGCTGGTGTCGCTCGATGCGCCGCGCGAGGCGTCGACCGATACGCCGCTTAACCTGCGCTTCGCGCTCGGCGCGCTGTCCCCCGCATCCCTCGGTCGTCGCACAATAACGCTCGCAGTCCAACACGTCCTCCCCACACCGTCCGCCCCGCCTCCACGTCCTCTCTCGACCACAGTACCAGCGAGATCGCCGAACTCGAGCTCGATCTCGCTCGCCAAGAGCCCAAGACCGACGCACGGGCAGCTGGGATCGGGATCGGCGGGGTCGGTGCAGCTTACGAGGGCGATGTCGTTGCCCGTGGGCAATGGCGCGGGTGTGGCTGAGGATCGGGGTCCAGTGTCGGCTGATTTTGCGAGGGCGGGGTTCGCGTCCGAAGGTGGATCTGCGCTTTCGTTGCTCCCTCCTCCCAAATCCACCTCTTCGACTTCCACTTCAACGACCACACCTGGTCCTGGATCCGCATACGCACCCGGACCCAGCCCGTCCTCCGCCCAGCCGCTCGGCCCGTCCGTCCAAATTCTACCCCCTCTAACGCTCGAAGAAGGCAAGCCCGGCTGGGCCGAGTTCGAGATGAGCTGGATGCCTGTGCGACGCGGGCTCGTGCAGGTCGGCGGGGTGCGGGTTTTGGTGGTTGAGGATGTGACTGACGGGAAAGAAGGGAGGGAGGGGAAGGAGGGCGGGGGAGGGCCGCGGGTTGTGCGGGAGTGGGATGTTGTTGGGGAGGTGTGGGTTTCGTGATTAGATGTATTTGTACCGATACCACTGTTTGCTATGCGGAATGTAACTGCTACTGTATACCACAAACTCATAAAATCCCCGAGTACATCTGCATCAGCCCGCGTACGCGCGCCACGAACATCGAGCCACCCAATCCAAGCCAAACCACCGTGCGAACACGCACGTGCACTGACGTCCCATACCGCAACATCCGCCCCGGCGCCTCCGCCTCCGCGCCCGAGGCCCTCACCCTCCTCACGACCATGTCGCAGATAACGCTGCTCTCGAACACATTCGTCGATGACCAGTCCGCCAAGATCCGCGCGAAGGAGGTGCCCTGGCCCGTGCGTCCCCCTCCCCCCCTCATTCCCACATCCCACAATATCGTAGAAACAGCATAACTGATGGAGCAGAGCAGGGCTACCAACGCGCGGGCCTAATAACGCCCGACGAGCTCGCGCTCATCAAACGCGTCGAGCGCCAATCGCGCGCCAAGACCGAGGGCATATTGCTGAGCGACGGGCCGGCCTACGCGCTGCTGTACCTCCGGCTGCTGAAGAAGCTGCAGCGGGTGGACACGATGCAGTGGGTGCTCGTCATGATCGCCGATGCGCTCACCGGTGCGTACTACGAGTCGACTCATTGGGATTGGTAGATGTGGGAGAGGAAGGTGCTGACTGGGATATTGGGGCGGGCAGATCACGACGAGCGGATACCGCTGTTTACGCGTACGGCGGAGACGGACCCGGAGTTGCCGTATACGCCTCTGCTCCGGTACTGTACCCTACACACTCCACCCCTCCTACACATATCTAACACCACACCCTAGCGCATTTGAAACGCAAGACGACTTCGTGCTCCTCAAATCCGCGCAGATCCTCACCGTCCTCCTCGGGTACATCCCTCCCTCCCACTCTCCACGCGCTAGTCCAGTCCACTGACCGGGATCACACAGCTCAGAGCCGAACGCACTGGGCACAAACGTCCTCCTGCCCCTCCTGCACTCACTGTCCTCATTCGTCCAAAGCCCATCATCCAACAAACGCGACGTCGCGGTCCAATGCCTCGAGTCGCTGCTCCCGCGGCCGGAGGTGCGGCAGGCTGTGTGGGCTAATCCCGGGATCATCTCCGGGTGCGTATCTCTGTGTACTATGGGTCGTGGACGCGCTGACGCGTGCGGATGTGTAGGCTCGTGGACATCCTGAAGTCCAAGCCGGGCCCGCAGATGAGCTACCAGGTCGGCTTCTGCTTCTGGCTGCTCTCGTTCGAGCAGAACATCGCGCAGCAGATCAACAAGTGCGCCATCCCCACGTCCTCCTCATTCGTGATCATAGCATCTGACGCGGATACGTTTGCAGGAAGTTCGACATCATCCCGCTCTTCGTCGACGTCGCCAAGGCCGCAGTGAAGGAAAAAGTCATCCGCGTTATCATCGCGACCTTCAGCGTACGCCCCCCTCCCCTCCCCTCCTCACCTCATCCCTCCACACTAACGATGCCGGTAGAACCTCGTCAGCAAAGCCCCCACCTCCAACCTCCCCTCCCTCCTCACATCCTCCGCCCTCCCCTTCCTCACCAACCTCTCATCGCGCAAATACACCGACCCCGACATCCCCGCCGACCTGTCCTACCTCATCGCGACCCTCACGTCCGCCTTCGACTCGCTCACGACGTGGGACCACTACACCTCCGAGCTCGAGTCGGGACACCTTTCGTGGAGCCCGGTGCACGAGAGCGAGGGGTTCTGGAAGGAGAATGCCGTGCGGCTGGGCGAGGGGGACGGGCGCGCGCTGAGGAGGCTTGTGGGGTTGGTTATGGAAGGACGTGAGAGTCTGGTGTTGGCGGTGGGGTGCCATGATTTGGGGCAGTATGTTAAGTATTATCAGCCCGGCAAGAAGTAAGTGTCTCCCCTACTTCTTGATCATTTATGTGGGACGGTGGGCTGACTGTGTGTGTGCGTGGTGCAGGGTGTTGACGGATCTGGGCGCAAAGACGCGCGTGATGGAGCTTATGGCGCATGCCGATGCCGACGTGCGGTATCAGGCGCTTTTGGCCGTTCAGCAGCTCGTGAGCCACCCGTGGCAGGCAGTATAAGGCCTTTAGAATAGCATACCCGTTCTACCACTATTGAACCGATACGACGAATGTTAAATGGACTCCGGAAACCTCTCGCAACGCGTTCTCACTCCCACTCGCGAGCCAAAAGACCGCGACTCTCTTTCGACGTCATTCTGAGCGTCTACAGACACGATGCTTTGAGGTTTGAAAGCTGTAGAGAATGATGATCGTCAAGTTGCCGTCGCCGGCATGAAAAAAGGTCCAGGAAAAACGAGATTCAAATCATCATGTCCCTGGGGAGATTCGAGCTCCCGGCTTCACGGAATTGGATGGACCACAACGTGATGATTTGACCACTAATCGACAGGGACCGGAAGAAGGTCTGCTATTTGTGTCCATAACCCGCCCACGCTAGCTGGGAAGAAAGATCGGTTCGGATAAAGGACAAGTGTCGAGTTGGTTCTCGCCTTCATCTTCTACTGGGCAAGTCCGCGCTCCACGGAGCGCCCCTTGCTTGCCGGCCCACGAATATATACTCATGACGATTGGCTGTATCCTGTACGAGCTCTTGAGGCCATTTGCGACCCACATTTCCGCAGACGACAACAAACACCTGCTAGTATAAGTGCGGTTCGTTGGCCGGCCCGTACGTGGGGTGCTCGATTCAAACCTCAATGCACGCTCGCTCGCTCGTACTGAGTCTCGACAAAATCTCGATCTCCGAGTGATGGCCACAGCAGTAATGGAAGACGCCAGGGCCGTCCCGGAATTCCACCGCCCTCCCTCGCACACGCGGGTGCTCCAGCTCAAGAAGTGAGCTAAGTGATTAAGGCTGCGAAGGAGACTAGGTGAGCTACCCCGCCCACTGCCAGCGATGTAGCATCGACTGACACAAGATTGCCGCACTCGCAGTGACGCATTCCACTATGGGGGCACCCTCGTCTCTTCGTGCGGATACGGCGTGATCATGCCACGCACCAGATACTAGGAGCGCTAGCGCGCGAGTCCGGCATATCAAAGGGTGAAGACCGCCACTCAGTCCTCAGCTCGAATGTGCAGTACCCTAAATCGCCATGCTGCTAGGATTGGAAAGCTTCCACCAAACCTTCCGCCATGCGGTATCGAGATCCCAACGTCAAGATGCGGATCGAGGAATCTACAGCATCTCAACGCGGCTCTTACAGATCGATTGTGCCGTGTATCAACTGTACCTACTACTCGCGTTGAGGCGCCAAGCGGACTTCAAATGGCTCCAGGCATGTGTCCTAGGAGGACTGTCCTCGGCGCTTAGTCTCGTGCGGATATAACCCTTCTGCCGCGACGACCGCGCACGGCAGATCTTGTCTCGACTCCGCCCTCTCCATTGTATCTTTCCCCCAGTCTCGACTCGCAATGGTTGCAATCACTTGCAACGCCGTGGGGGACATCATCGCCGTAGCATCATTCATCCTCGACATCGCACGCGCGCTCAACGATATCCGCGGCTCCGCCTTTCAATATCGTTCCTTCACCGAGGAGCTGCACGGACTGCATACCATGCTCACCATCGCGGCCCGTATCGCTGTGAACTGCGCGGACAAGGCCCTCAGCGACGAGATCGTCCGCAAGGTCGACCAATGTGGGCGCGACGTCCAGCGCGCGTTTGAGCGCATTGCCCAGTTCTCTGTGCTCGGCGAGGATCATGTCACCGGAGAAGCCTCTCGCATCAAGTTGAAACGGCAGTGGATTAAGGTCAAGTGGCATTTCACGCAACATGAAGATACGCAGACAGCGCGCGAGGAGCTCGCGATGGCGACTCAGCGTTTGACAGCGCTGCTTGTCCTCTCCAACACGTACGTCATGCCATGTTCCATCGTATTTCAACCCGTACTGATCAACATCTCATCTGTATTCAGGGATGGTGCAGCGCGCTTCAGGACACAACTGTTGAGCCAGCTCGAGGTTCTCGTCGCACGCGATTCTACGCTTTCCCACGTTGTAAAGAGCGAGACTGCGGTGCGGGCCCGGCTGCCCATCGCTTCTCGTACCCGTAGAGATGACCCCGCACTGGTGCAACACTTATTCGACCATGTCCCACATTGGGTGGACAGTAGGACTGCCACGGTCGCCGTACTGTGTGCTGCTGTATGCGCCATGCATGGACCGTACGACCACCTCGTGCCCACGGCGCTTCTTCTGGTTGCCATCTGCATCTTGTTACGATCACCAGAATCACGCACCCTTACACTACCACAAGACGTCGCATACCCAACGGGCAATACCATCACGCTCCTCGACGCTCTCGGTCGGCGGCTCACACTTCCGTATGAGCTTTGCGGAAGTTATGATGTTCGTGTCGCATGCGATCTCTCATTGCGCATGCACTCACCATTCTCCAGGTCTTTCACGCTACGCTTGTCAATCTGTTTTCCTGCACAGAAGGTCGCTGGTTCGTCGACGCGCATAAATATGATCTCTCAAGCGGCTCCGCGTGTGTTGATGCCGCGGGCTGGGGCTCACTCGTTCACCCCGGGGTGGAGATTGAGATGGCCATCATCGTGGAACGGGTCGTCTTCAACTTGGCCAGACTCGGCATTACCTGTCCAGTATGCCACTTTGACAACGTCGGGGACACCTACCGGGCTCAGGCTACGTGGTGAGGCACACCACCTTACATATGTGTGACATACACTAACAATCGTGGGACAGTATGAACTGCCATAGGGCGCTTAGCGTGGCTGTGTTCCTCCCAGAGGTTCTGCCTCCTGGTCATCAAAGCGCGGCAGACAGCTCCAAAAGCATTGCTGTGCGCGACCGCGGGTTTCTCCCTGCTCGATCCAGACCGGCAGCGCTCCCCGCCTCCTCTGGACTGCGCCCTGCCTCGGCCTGTAGAGGCGCGCTAAGGCATCCTGACTCTGCCAACCTCACCTACGGCACTGAACAGCCTACCACCATGGTCTGGGCGACACAAATCAAGGAGTTCCGCCGCTTTCGCACCCATATTCGATCATCCGAATCCCTGAGCTATTCCAACCTCAGCTTGACGTTCACTGGCCCGGCGCCGGATCGCCACGTTCTTCTGGCGGCTGCCGAGAACGGACATTATAAAGTAGCATCCGGCATCCTCGACGCCGGTCTGGACGTCAACAGTTGCGACGTGTCCGGGTTCACAGCATTGCATCTCGCCTGCTGGAATGGACATGCTCGCGTAGCAGAACTTCTGCTGCAACGCGGAGCGAGCGTCGATGCCGCTACTCTTGATGATGTGACTCCCTTCGCCTGTGCACTGATGTCAATGCAACCCGATGTGTTGGATCTACTGCTCGATCACAAGGCGATCGTGAATGCGTCTGAAGCACTTCAGGCGGTTGCATTGCACATCGCGATTATAATGTCCAATGCAGATGTTGCGCAGATGCTTGTCGGGCTGGGTATCGACATCAATCGACCGCTATGCAAGATCTTCTCCGCAACACCGTTGGATACCGCAGTGCGGCAAGTCAACTACCAGCTCGTCGAGATGCTCTTGCAACATAATGCGGACGTCAATGTACGGTCCAACGCGGGTCTTACGCCGCTTGAGCTCGCGGCTCAAAGCGGACAAGAAGACATCTTCGAACTGCTCTTCGCCGTCCAGATATCAGTCTCCCACGATCTATCTTCTGTCATGGACGGGACACTTCACTACGCAATACTCGGCGGGAACTCTAGAGTCCTCGAGATTATGCTCGAGACAGGGATAGACGCGCGAAAACGCTTATCGGGCGGTATGTCGCCGCTCTCGATGGCCTCGGAGCTCGGGCACGTACAGCAGGTGCAGCTCCTTCTCGCACATGGCAGCGATGCCAATGCAGATGCCTTGCCATCGCCGCATACGTCACTATACGGACACCGATGGGAACATGAATGGACGCCATTGCACGCTGCAGCATATACTGGTCGTGCCGCTGGTGTCGAGATTGTCGAGCTTCTGATACAGCACGGCGCTGATGTCAACGCATCCACAACGATCGGCGGATATACACCGCTTTCCCTTCTACTCGAGCGCAAACGGAACGCGATGGTGTGGCCGTTCATGTTCCACGACGAGGAGATCATCGAGGTGCTTCTATCTTGGGGTGCTATGTTGGACGAACGCTCGTGTGGACTACTGCGCGAGCTAGGATCCCCACTATGCGAGGATGGTATGGACGGTGTCATGGTTCCCGGTGCCTGGAGTGACGATTAATACTTAGCTGTGCATGCGTAGCGAGTAATTTGCTATGCTTCATGGGCCTAATTCAGTAGTCTGCTTCAGCTTCGATATCGTTGTAATTCTTCGAATTACGCTATAGTACACGTATCGGCCCCTCGAGATGAGAAGTATACAAATGACTGATGGGAACACAAGCTAGAATGTACATTCCGAAGGCAAGAGGCGCGCAAGAAACACTAAGAACACGGACAGATCTTACATACACGCAAGCACATGACTGTACAACAATGACTGTGGCGGGATCCTTAGAACCCTGGGCTCCCCTCGTCGCTACTACCGAGACCCTCTTGTTCGTGGCGAGTAAGAAGAGCTGGCCGTAAACATTGCTCTGCCAAAGCGCGTGCGAGAGGCACAGGTACAGCGTTGCCGATCTGACGTTGTTGCTATACATATCGTCAACAGGAAGCCCTTATCAATGAGATGCATGGATTGTACTTACATCTTCGACGGTGTGGCGTGGACTACTGTCCTCTGAACGCGCGCAAAAGATATAGTCGTCTGGGAATCCTTGTGCGCGAGCGGCTTCGCGTACAGTCATAGTCCGTCGTTGCTACATCATGCTGAGTCCCTGTGGCACACGGCAAAATAAGTTATACACACGCTGTAGTGGAGCGCCGATCCAGTCTGGGACAATGGTTTGGCCTCCGTCATGGACGTGGCGAAGACGTCGTCGGCAGGGACCCGCATCAACATCTTGTTATTCGGGGGCTTGCGGCTTTTTTTACCCCTGACTCGAGCAGGCAGTCCCTCCGGAAGATCTATGGGCAAGCTCCGTCAATACGAATAGAAGAGAATCCCAAGCAGCAGAATCTCAACTCACTGCGCCAGTTTGCGCGTGGCCACATTGGGACGGCGGTCACCCGCTCGACGGTCTTGACGGGATACGGCATCGTGTAGTGCATGTCGACGCGGCCAGAGGTTGAGCGCACAGCATGTTGGTACATCGATCTCGGAACATCGCCGTACTTTTCGGGTTCAGCAAACCCGACAAACCTAGACTCGTTGTATCGCCTCGACGAGATGGCGTCCATGACCGGTATGCCCGATGCCCGATCATCTTCCTCAAGTTGACGGTCGGCATCCGACACGACGATCTCCTCACCGGGCCGTTCCCTACGAATGATGAGAACAAATACTGCACGACGAGTATGATGACAACACACCAGTGGAACATTGGCTATGAAAAGATATCAACATCTGAGCAGGTGGCAATATTGAGACGGGAAACATACGAGGTCACCAGTCGCCTGTTCAACAGTGATTGTATGATGCGGCGCGGCGGATGTATATTGGTCATAGTACGCTGAGCGCGCGCTCTCGGTCAAAAAGCCATCGGTGGCACGCGATAGACCGCGCAGAGTCTGCCCAGTCGGCAAATGAACCCTCTGAGCAGCTTTGTAGACGTGGGTGGGAAGAGGATGCTGAGGAAGTGGTAGTCCCCGACGTGCCATGATGATGATGAACCGCCGGCGCCCTTGGGGCACACCGTGCTGTGCGGCTTGCATCACTCGAGCATGGACTTGGAACCTTCGAATGACGTTAGTAGAGGGGCCATATGGAAGGTGCATGCGATCGCTCACCCTAGCGCCAGCCCGATGCGTACCACTATCTTGACCATTCCGGCAGGGACCTCTCGACCGTCCTGAAGCGTAGTCTTATGTTCAACGAAGCCAAGTACGTTTTCGATGATGATGTAATCGGGTTCGAGTAGTTCGGCATACGAGAGAAGAACTAGCGCGAGCATCGATCTGCAAGTGCTCGTATTGAGTCCAGTTAGGATAGTGTAGGACATTCCACCAACCTCGGATCATCATCCTTCTAGACATGACCTCAGCTAACGCACGTATGAAAGGAGCCGAGAGGACACACACCTTATAGTGATTCGCCTTGGAGAAGGACTGACAAGGCGGGCCTACCATTCCATATAAAATAAGCAGATGCTCGTACACTGTCACACTCTGGGAACGGACCTCCGAAAATGATGTCGACTTCTCCGCGCCCAGGCAGCGGTGGGAGTTCATTTCCGTCACTATCGAGTAAGGGGTCGGGATTACAGCCATCCAGGAAGTCAATGTTATACTGCAAGACTTTGTTGCAGTCCTGATTAAAGATGACGGCGTCGGGGTGATTCGCCCTGAACATTCGTGAGCGCGATTCTCAACACACGCGAAGAGCAGCACAAACCCCAACGTCCGCGCACAGGCCAATGAGTACTCAATGACCCAACGAGTATCGATCATGGATTTGGCGCCCTCAGATAGACCGCCGCCTCCTGCATGCAATGACAGGTTCAGTGGGAGGACATGCTGAAATGAGCATAGAAGTGCTTACCAGCGAAGATTTCAAGACCGTTCAAGTGCGCCACCCTCCCTAGTCGCTCGTCGCGCTGCATCATAGCATTGAAGCAATCTTCGCATCGCTCAAGTGTGTTCTTTGGGATCTCATGGAGTTCCTTGCGGCGCTCGACGTCTTTACCGGCGAGGGCCGATTCAAGGGTGCAGTAGAATACGTCAGGGTTGTCAAGGAGCCAATTCTTGTCCTTGGGTTCGCGGCGACGTAGATAGAACTTGCCAGCAAGACGATCGGAGCTGATTTCCTCTTGACGGCCGGTCAGGAAGATGTGGCGCTGCAAGGGACACGTCTGAATACCGAGAGAAAGCACGGGGCTGCAAATAGCGTACCTCGTCCATCTTCCATTGATCACCCTCCAGCCCGGCTAATCTCTCTTTCTTCGTCAGATCATCTCTCCGATGAAAGTACCGGACGGTAAGTGTCAGTTTCAGCGTTTCATCAGCCCGCTTCTTTTTCTTAAGGGCAGCACTCTTCCAATCCACAATCTGCGCCAGATCGAAAACGCTGTTCGGATCGTCCTTGCCGTACAGATAGACGCATTCATGCTCATGATATTCAATACCGCTTGAAATGAAGCCTCGGTTATCGCTGAGGAGAGTGATGGCATCATGTTGCTCATCGAGTTCGTCTAGGCCACAGGATATGCATTGTCGATGCGGCGGGCATAGGTCGAGAGCCTTCTGAATGATAGTTGACGAGAGGCTGGACCACGCGATCCCGTCCTCGTCGTAGTACAAATTCCTATACGGTTGCGAATCGGCTTCAAGGCGGACTCATGGAGAGCGATTACGTACCGGTGAAAGAAGTGGTCAGGGGGCAGCGCCCTGTCACCCTCTGCAGGTGGTTCTTCGCCTACCTCGCCTCTCTTCGGCAAGACATCAAGTTCGCATTTTTGTAAGATGGAGGTGAGCTCGCAGTCCGAGCACTCCTTGAGCCAGAATAGTTCGTTGGGATGAGAGAACTCTTGAAGCAGTGTCTTGGACGAATGCGCGAACCAGCGCGCGTGGAAACTAGGGGCACGCCCGCCATCGTCATGTAAGCAGACAATTTGAGCGAACCTTACACAAGGTGAGTAAGGAGCACAGAACGCAAGAGACGCTTGCTGACCAGTTCTTGTGGGCTAGCAAGTTCGTGGTATGAACGGTCTTCGCGGCTTGCTCGCGCGTTTTCTTGGGATCCGCACCAGGTTCGAGCATAACCAGATCCCCGGGCTTGAATGTGATCAGCGCATCTCAATACTCTTGTAACGTGAGAAGAGTCCACCTTGTACTTAACCCCATCGATCCGAACAGAGTCATAGTAGCTCGTCCCGTCCTCTTGAGCCACACACCGTCCCCAGATGATCTTCTCCGGATTGCTCTCGTGGATCGTACTGCTCCTTCGCCTCGAAACCGGTCTGGAACTCGACCGCCCCCTATCTCGAACGCTCATGACGCTCTCTGCGCGTCTGAGCTTTAAGTGCCGTAGTTGCTGCGCGATTTCACTGACGATAGGCGTCAGTACTGTGTGCTGGCCTGGCTTCGTCCTCAAAGTCTCTAGCTCGGGGTTCTTGTTGGACGAGCGCCGTCGCTTGAGGGAGGGTCTTTTGCGTTTACGACCGCGGTCGGAAGCAGACTCGAGAGTGCTCTCTGCATCGGAGTTGGCAGGGGCGGATGAGGCGACAGAGCGCGCTCGTGAGCGCGAACGAGATCGAGAGCGTGTCCTGAGCTCACGGAAGAGCGTATTCTTGTTCAGCGGTCTGATTTCATCACGTAGCTTATCGAAGAGCTGGAGTACACGTGCATCCTGGAACGGGGATTGGGTCAATGTCAGGGCTGAGGGAATAACTAGTAGAGTTTATAGTGTACCTGGAGAGCCCTTTCGCATTCTTCACGCGTGAGTGGCTGGTCGTCTGCCTGATCGTCGTAGAGTACGCCCAACTCATCAGAATCAACCTCGAGTAGGAAAGTATCTAGCGTCACTCGGGGGTGCTTCAGGGCATATTTGGTCATGACGTATATCACGTAATGTGCGAGGGAGAAAGGCCGCATGTAGGGTCTGTACGAAGGATGTGCGTCGCGGAGAATGTACCACGCATGGGAAGTTCGGATCCATATATCACTACGATGAGCTTAGTTAGCGCTCAATAGCTACCGTTGACGAGCACTCGGTGAGAAACTCACGGGTCCAGCCTTTCATCTTCGTCGTACCACCAGAGAAAGTCGATCTCGAGGATCTCCGTCAGCTGTATCCGTGGCATGTCTTCCGGGTCAAAGTCGATCTCAATCTCTTCGTCATTCTCGTCCTTCCTTGGTTGAGGACTGACGATACCTGAAGCCAAGAGTTGCCGTTTCTGAAGCTGACGCTCGGACTCGAGGGCGACGGAGAAGAAATCCTCCATGACGGACGAATCAGCCTGGTAAATTGCAAAATTGTCGAGAATGCGGATGGGGAGGTCGGACTTCTTGTCTTCCTCGTCCTCCTCAGCATCTGCATTGATCTCGTCGAGCATGTCGACAAGCTCCTCAGTTTCAGGCGCCTCGGTTACTGGCGGGTCGTACTCGAGCAGTACCTCTGATTCCGTTATTCGTGAGCAAAGCGAAGTTATTGCATACTAGAAGAGTTGAATTGTACCTTCTTCTTCGTCGTCGGGCGGTGATGCGACCGACAAGCTGGGCGTCTTCGTTTTGCGAGGCCTACATATGTGAGAACACCAACAGTATGCATGTAGAAGACTCGCGCCCTACGTACGTTGCAAGGCCTATGATGAAGTACAGAGTGTCTCAGTTCAACGCCACATGTAGCTAAGATCGATAATCCGTGAAACTGACCTGTCCTTCGGTCTACAATGGCGGAATCATCATCCAGTACGACCTAGATACGCTCAAAACCATGCATTACGTGAGGTTATGAACATAATATACATCTTCATCAGAGTGACTCTGGGTTTGCTTTAGAATGGCTCGTGGTAGCGGGGGAAGATCCACGTAAACCTTCGAGGCGCACATCAGTCTCCGTCCGAGACCAACGTAGAAACCTCTTACTGAGGATCTCCTGCGCCTCAACGGAGGCGCGGGCGTAGGGAGGCGCGAAGGCATTGAGCGAGAGGATCTGTGATCTGCATTGAAGTCATGGGAAGTCTGCGCGTCGTCCTCTTCGGCGCCGGGGTCCGGCATACTAGTATCAGGCGCGGTTTCAACATCGCTGTTCTCTGTGGCGGACTCCGCGTCGAACTGCACAGAGGTTATACTCGTTTCCTATAACAACCTATGAGTAAAGCACTAAGAGTAGATCAACTACACGCGTACATGATATCCCTTCACGAGGTCAACAAATGCGCGTTGCCCGGTCCTGGACACGACAGACGTCGAAGCTCCAACATCGGCATCCTCTTCCTCCTCGCCATCGTTGTCCGCGAGCTTCCGCCTCACCCGCCTGACCGGTAGATCCACATATAGACGTTTAGACATGGTATTACAGCAGTTGAAGTCAAGGACGCGGAGAGCCTGGTGATCGGTAGTGGTGGCCGTTCAAAACAAGAACTGGAGCGCGCGCGGAGCTGAGACGCTGTTGTGGTGCGCGCGTGACAAGACGCGTTTGTGACCCCTTATAGGACGCGCCTTTCGCCTGTTGTGGCCCCGGCCAGGGTATCGCTTTCAGGCTCGCTCGGCGAGTGCAAGCGCGGGTCGAGGCGCATGCCCTTTCCATCCCGCTAGGAGAAGGACATCAAGAGAAGGACATGAAGCTGTGTCCCGCGCGAGACGCAATTTTGAGCTAGCACCACGGCGCCTAAGTACATCAGAAAACTACTGCTAATGGGCGCTTACAGCTGTTCCCGAAAACCTTGGGAATGAGCGCGTTTTTTTGCGCGCGCGAACGAAGTGAGTTCGCGCCGAAAAAGGAAAGCCTCACCCGATTGGGAAGGACCACGCGCGACCGCCACTCGCCGGCCGCTACGATTTCCGCGTGTGGCCCTCGTCGTCCTCCTCAGACTCTTTATGTAATGGACAATTCTTCAGGAGTCGACCCTCCAGTAGCCGGAATAAGCGGGTTATTGATGTGCCAAGGAAGCTCAGAGCAAGCACGCGACATGCACGCTCGAGTCCGGACACGCAGCAGCCCACATTGCGACGCCGGGCAGGATATGAGCGCTTGAGCACTCGTTCGGTGGTCAAAGCTGTGTATCGTAAGCTAGTCCATGTAAAGGGATCACAGTGTAAGTACGGGGTAATAGAACTATAGTATACTGGAGGGCCACACGCGGAAAT